CTTCTTCTTCTTCTTCATGTGGTGCTGGGGACTGAACCTGTGCATGCTTGGCCATAGTTCTACCATTAAACTATACCTCCAGACCACTGATTTACTTTTTAAAATAAGGAAGATTCTGCATAGATTATGTCCTAATTACAGGAGAGAAGAAAATAATGTCTTCTCAATTCTTATTTAGACTAACAACACTGCTTTTCTGGCATTTTTCAGTTTTTAGCACTAATATTAGCCAGAGAAATATGCACAGTGGCTTCTGTTCTTTTTTTTTTTTTTTCAGGGATTGAACTCAGAGCCTCACAACATGTAGGCAAATGCTCTACTACTAAGCCACATTCCTCGCCAGACTTCTGTTATAGAACCTAACAATTATTTTATTTCCTGTGATTATTCTTATAATTACTTAGTAATAATTATGATTAATTAAAATATAAAGCATTTATATTATATATATCAGCTTTAAAAATCAATTTCAAAGATTTATAATTTATAATATAAGCACCACATTCTAAATTTTTCCCATTTTTCTAGGTATTAGGTCTACTTCTTAATTTATCTTAGAAATTATCTATTGACTTCTTATTAAAACATGGCTCACTTCTCCATAGTCAGTTGTTTTTAGTTGTTGTTTGCATTATTAAATGGCTACCTAAAATGTCATTTCCTATAGAATCAAATAGTATCTATGATTACATTTCCATTCTTGTTTTCTCTATCCTGAATAACTGCCTTACTCTTTCTTTTAAACATAGGTAAATTTTGGAGTAGAGATGCTTAATTTTTCCTTCAGGTCTTTTCCGTGTTTGTTGGTAATTTTTCTTTCAAATGTTTCCACAGATCAGATAGTCTGTCAATTCCCTTTGTCTCTGGAGACCTCTGAGTGGCTGTTCCCTGTAGACTGGCTGCTTGCAGGCCTACCACCCAGCTGCCCTTGTGATTTAGGTCCCTATTTTTGTTCTTTGTCTTCTACTTTTTTGGATATCACCCTCACTTTGTTGAAGCATAGCCTCAAAAAGTTTCCTGTGAAATGATGCATAACAGATGAATGTTTCGTGTTCATACATTTCTAAAAATACCTTTAGTCTATTCTCATAGTTGCTTGCTTTGGCCGGAGCTTTGCACCTATTGTTAGGCTTTTACTTAGCACTCCAGCTCAGAAGCCGAGGCCTCACTCTTGCCCACCACTGAGCCTTTCAGTTTCTCTAGAAAACACCTTTAGTCACCCCTGGTACCTCATTTCTGCTGAAAGTTACCCATGTCTTACAGTTTCCAAATTTGCAGGCATTTTTTTTTTCAATTCTCCTTGGCATGTCTTCAATTCTCTTTGTTCTCGCCAGTTTTTTTCTTAATTTCTTTACATGTTGTTTTAGTGGTATGCCAGGATAGAATAGATTCTACTTGCTCAAAACAGAAACCTTTACCTCGTTCTTTCCTTTTTCTCTTGGCTTAAAACAATGTATTAGTTTCTCTCATAGTCCTGTGAATTAACAGGGCTTAAACAGATAATTTCTAACTCAAAGCCTCTCATGATTGCACTAAGAGGGAGGCTGTTGCTAAAGTCTTTTTAAGTCTTGAGTTGGCTGGATATCCAAGATGCACATTAGTGCTGGCTATTCATCAGGGTGACCTCTCCCTCTGGTGTGGGTATTAGAGCACAGTGGTGGGTTCTGAATGGCGAGCATGACAAGACTTCTACTCGTTTTTTGTGAAACTAGTTTTGCAAAGTGAAAACATAATATACACCCATACTAAAAAAATTTCAGACTAAAATGTAGTATTCTGTGAAACCGTCTTCCTATCTCAGAGCCTTACTTACTCTCTCCAGGGGCTTACTACAGTTATTTCAGAAATCTCCCAAGTATTCAAGTTTACATGCTCCTAGCTCCCTTCACCTCTCAGTCCTTTTTTTTTTTTTTTTCTTGCTGTACTTGGGATTGAACCCAGAGCCTTGTGCATGCTAGGCAAGCACTCAACCACTGCCTAGCTCTTATTATTTTATTTTGAGACAGATTTTGAGTTGCCCATGTTGGCCTCTAATTTGTGATCCTCTTGCCTCAGCCTCCCTAGTAACTAGGATTACAGGCACGTGCCACCATGCCCACTCCTTACCCATTGCCTTATACAAATAAGAGCAGACTGTTCTCTACTTATGTTTTCCACATAATATAGCGCATAGTTGTTTTTATATCGACACCTCTAAATTGATCTCATTTTTTCCATATCTATAGTTACATCTATGTTGCTGTACAGCGATATTTGATTGGCAGAATGTCAGCATATAAGGTGACTACTATTCCCTTGGCTTACTTCCCCTTGGTGGTTTGCTATAACTTCTCAATTGAGTGGGGACAGATAAGTGAAATTTATTTTCTTTGTTGTTTCTGCTTATACATTTTACATATCCCTTCCCAACCAACCCCTTTTTAGTTGTTTTTGTTTCATACATTAAACCTTTGGACTCATAAAATAAAAATCAGTTTTTTTTAACAATATAGTGATTTCTGCCTTGGTTTCACTTTTGCAATTGGTATTTTAAAAAGCTCATTAAAAGTCATCAGTCATTCTTTCAACATACATTTGAGTGCTCCCCCCAAATTCTGGATAGAGTGTCAAAGTGTTAAGGATATAAGGAGAAAAAATGTGGATAATGTACCTTCCAGAGTCTTAGAGCTGTTAATTGTGTCTCCCAGTGCATTGCTGAAACACAAACAAGGATCAGTGGGTTCATGAAGAAAGAGAAGAGAAATGGCAGGTGCATGAAAAGTAGAGGATATGCAGGCCTCTGTGGACAGTAACTGGAGTTACTGTTTGGGAAGGGCATCTGGGAGGAGCAGCCAGCTAGCTGTGCCAGCCATGGGGCTTGGCAGGGGGTGTTCTGGGTCTGTAGCAGGCATTAGAAACTGGAAAGGTAGGCAAGATCCACATTTTGAGAAGCTTTGTATGTCATGGGTAGGGTTTGGACTGTATCCCTGGAATTCCACTGGAGGATTTTATACTAAAAGAAGATATAATGAGATTGTGCTTATATAAGGGGATTGGAGACATTAGCAGTGAGACTAGGTAGGAAACTACTGCTGAAATTCATACTAAAGAGAGTAAGAGCTAGAATCCTTAAGGTTTGTAATTACTACTAAGAGGGTTATGAATTAAAAAAATAAAGATACTGTAGTTGATCTTAGAACCCACCAGTAATTTTATGACAATTTAT